ATCACATAGTGGTTAAGAACAACAGGCTTTGAAGCCAGACTTATTGGGCTTGTGCCTGGCTCTATCATTTACTGTGTAACTTGGACAAGTTATTTAACCTCTCTGAGTTTTGGTTTCCTCTGCAAGATGGGGACAATAATAGTACCCGTCCCATAGGTTGTTGTGAGAGTTACTCTAAAAATCTCACATATATTAAGTTATAGTAACACAGAAAGTTCTATATAAGGGTTAGCGTTATTGCTATTATTATTATCCTGGGGCATCATGTGAACTTATTTGATCTCATATTGACCACATTATAACCAAGTCCAGAGTATAGATTAGAGTACTTCTTTGACTTGTATAATTTAATGTGATATCATTCTGTGAGTTGGGTACGATTGGGAACAATTATTTTTATGAAAAAACGGGGAGAGTATGAACTTTTCAAAGTCACAGATAGTCTGTGATGGAGCTCAGTCTAAAACCCAGGTGTGCTTATTTCCAGCCCCAGACTCAAGCCCAAAGCGGGGAGGGCAATCACTGCACGAGAAAAGAAACTAAGATGCTGTCAGCGTCCTGTGCCTGGGCCCACAAGGCCCTGCTTTCAGCTGCAGAGAAAGCTCATGAAAGGCATTCCAAAGCCCAAACCCAGCATCTGGCAAATTTCTTCCCAGTTCATCACTGCCTCACTTCCTGGCTGCACACCTCGTACTTGACCTTCCATGTTTGTTCTTCCAGTTCTTTGTTCCATGTTCGCTCGGCCCTCAGCTTTGGTATCCTACTGGTATGGCTAAAGCCTGGTCTTCCCAGGTTACCTCTTCATCTCTTGGGTCACAGCTTATCTCACACTTCTTCCTTTGGTTCATTTAGACTGGCCTGGAGGTGATGGGCCATGTATACCCATGAGCATGTATATATTATCCTTGGCTCTTCCCCAGTAGAAGTGTGTACTTGGTTACGGTCTCAGTCATATCACATCTGAATACCCAGTCTCAAATAAGAGAATGACTGAGATGTCATGAAAGTATAGATATTTATCCTTTGCACAATCAAACAATTCTCATCCATTTTCTCCTTTAGGGATGAGTGGGGGAAGGGTGATAAGCTGACTTCATTTTAAATCACAGTTCATTTCTTCATCTTCTGTCTCCCTGTATGCTTTAATATATGTGTGCAGAGATAGTATGAATTATAATGCCAACAGGAAGACATGTAATACAGCTGGGCTGTGGTAAGGGGACAAGTGTGCTGAGTCAAAAAGCTGGACTAGAGGTCTCAGTTTCTTTATCTATAAATTGGGTAATATACATTTCAGAGTATTTTTTGAAAGATTAAATGGCAATTTATATATATATATGTATACATATATGTGTGTGTGTATATATATATATACACACACATACATACACACACACACACACACACGTATACATATATATATAAATTTAACACACATATATGTGTGTATATATATATATACACACACATACATACACACACACACACACACACGTATACATATATATATAAATTTAACACCCAGAGACTTTACAATTTCTTGGTACATTTTACTGTTAGCCAAAGATTCGATGCTTGACAAGAATAAGCCCAAACTGGAAATAACTGAGTTACAGAGCACAGCTGCCTGACAGTACCTTATGGTCTCCCACAAAAGCATATAAGAATTTTCATTTTTTAGTATTTAAGATTCTCCTTTTGTGTTAGGAAATGGCAAGTCATGTGTCCCTGGAAATGTCATTTCTTAGGTTCTAGGTTTGAATATAGATGCCATCATTTATATCAGTGTGACCTTTGACCCCAGTTTCCTTAAGTGTTATTTGGATGTGATAATATTTCTGACGTGTGTGCAAATCAAAATGAGGTAATACGTCATGTGGACTGTTCAGTTAGCATTCAAAAATTGGATATTAGGATAAGCTCTGATTGAAATCTTCCCAGTGGTTATAGATGCTGCCCTTTGACCTGGAGCTGTGCACAGAGGGAGGGTACGTGCCCATTCTCACCTTGGACCTGTGCAACTGGCCATGACACCAGGAGACTCATGCTCCAAACTTTCAAGACAAGATGTTTCTTTGATCTTGGGCCCAGCAGAAAATCTCCTTTGGCAAGCCTAGCCATGACAGCTGGGCTCTGCAATGGCAACTTTCTGTAGACAACACTGAAAAAATTCTAAACGGCAAGTACTCTAGAGAAGACTTGATGAAGGAAACCAGGTGTGTGCCGAGAATCCAGCTGGAGAGAATTGAAGCTGTGCCAGATAGCTTTAAATAAAAAAAAGAAAAATGGAAAAAGGAAAGACAAAAACAAACCCTTAGGAGAATCCAGGCCAGTGTCTCCACTGTGATGGCCTTGGTTGGCCAGAGACCCCAAGTTCCCTCCTCTGATCGCCTCTGGTTAATTTTCTATGCAAGTTGACAAAAAAGAATGTGACAAGTTCTGTCTCAGAGCTCACAATCAGGCAAGACAAGGCTGTGCTCGTCCTTGCTGACCCAGGAGACCGAGAAACCAATTAAAACTCTTTCTCGCATTTCATCCTCCAGTGGTGGTATCAACATAATGATGAAGTTCTGGTCCAGAGAGTCCATGAAGTAGGGGCTAGTGATTCCTGCCTGGTGTGGATTTGGGGGAGACCACCCGGCTCAGCTTAATTGATCATTTAGCAGGTAGTTGAAAAGCTTAGGAAGATGGAATAGCTTCTGCCACAATACCCTAAATGAGGCAGACTACAAGGCTACAAAAATCCAGAATTCCTTGGATTCATTGACACAGGATGTCTGAAGCTTCTTGAAGCCTGCAGACCCTTTGCCCAAGAAATGATCAAGACATTCGAATGAATCCACATCTCCATGGCCTTCTGCTCAGGGGCAGATGCAGATTTTGTGGAATGTGAAACTGACATAATTTGAGGAGGCCCTCTTAAAGGCAAAGACTACATAAATGTGAATGCAAAATTAGGTATGAAGATGAATACTTACTTGGAACAAAAATATATGGAAGGAGATTAAAATTTTTTAAGTTGAAAAATACCACATATTAAAATATTTAGAAAAGTAATCTTTTTATATTAGACATGCCTGTATAAAAACTTTTTCCCTAATTTTTCCTGCAATTTCCCTTAAAACTTTATTATATAATTAACTTTTATAATATTTTCTATAGAGAGAATGAAAGATAATTTATCTAATTGAAAATTGATTTTTGCTTTTAATAGTTTAGGGATTTTTTTTGGTTTCATCACTCGTTATTGGTAATTTCACCATTAAATTATTGGTTAAATTTTTAGAATGATTAAATATTGAAGAAATTTTTACACATTTCTTTCATATATGAGCTATAAGATTTTTGGACATTTCCAGTTATTTGTTGTGTGTGTGTGTGTGTGTGTGTATACACTCAGCAACTTGTTCTTAAATGTTCTTTGAATCGATGAACTCATTAACCATTTTATCATCAGTTATATGTTGTCCTCACATATTGTTTCAGCATGATGGGTGATAGTAATATTACTGGAAGCCATTTCTACTGGTACCGTTGTAATAACTAGACGTAGAAATGACTACAAATCACACAAATATATCCCCCTGAATCCTAATTAAATGCCACTTTTTCACAAGTTCCTCTTAGCCAGGTCTCTAGAGTTTTCATAGCCACTCCAATGTCACCCAACTCAGAGGGAAAGGTGATGGAAGATGTCCTAGTGAAGAAATACAGAGATCTTAACCAAATGTGGTTTAAATAACCTACTTTTGCAAATTTTACAAAAATTTATGACCACGTGACTCTCTTACTAGAGCCTTTCTCAGGGCCCTGGAAGCGACACATACAAGCAAGGAGCCCTCACATACAAGCTTTATTAGCTCTGTGGTAAATTTACATATGAAGATTTACTCAGATTTCCTGGATGACAGGCTAGGCTTCACATCACTAGTCACTAAATGTTGAGAAATGACTGGGAGTTCAGTCCAGCTCAGTTGCCCAGTGTTTCTTCAGCTTGAAAATCTTGCCAAAAATACGTGAAGGTTTAAGGAGTGTGTCCCTAACAAGGAAGTAAGTTTTGGTTGGACTTTCTATTCATAGCAGAAAGAGCTTCCCCTAGGTTCTCTAGGGCCATCGTCTGTATTAAGTAATTCGAATTACCCCAAATCAATACGTCAGCACCATTTTGATAGCCTATTCTCTTGCAATCTCACAAAAGAAATGCTGCAAGAGTGATCATCTGGCCCTATAATTAGAGCCTGGCTTTGAGATTTCAGTACAACCTAATAGGTGTGAGTGCTAGTGCTCCTTGGAGCACTTGGTGGGTCCCATGTGTCAGGTAGTGGACTGCAGCAAACCCTGACTGGGAGAAACGAGGACTGGGACTGAGTCCAGGCATAGGGTACTCCACCTGGATGACACTGTTGGCCCCGAGGTGCCTCTGTCAGGGTCTAAAGGCAGCACTAGTAGAGAGAGTAGTGGTAGGCCCTTTTCTTCTTCTTTCTTCTTTCTTCTTTCTTCTTTCTTCTTTCTTCTTTCTTCTTTCTTCTTTCTTCTTTATTCTTTCTTCTTCTTCTTCCTCTTCCTCTTCCTCTTCCTCCCTCTTCCTCCTTCCTTCTTCTTCCTTCTTCCTTCTTCCTCCTTCCTTCTTCCTCCTTCCTTCTTCTTCTTCTTCTCCTCCTCCTCCTCCTTCTTCTCCTTCTCTTTTTAATGTGGCCATGACTGTGAAGTATACAAAGGTAGAACCTGCTGGAAAAGCCACATTTTCCCTGAAATTATTCACTGTCATTTTAATTGGTTTTATTTAAATGATTTTCTTAAAGACTGTGATAATTGAACTTCAATTTAAAAGGTAGTAAGCGTGTTTTCTTCAGTGATGAAACACATCAATGTTTTGACTCCTGGCCACTCACTCCCTAAACTTCCAAACTTACCTCCCTGCTGAGACCTTCTTTCTCTACTCCACATGACCCCATTCTCATCATCCTTATTGCAGTTATTCTTTGTGGTCATTCCTGTATATTATTTGTTAAAGATTTGAAGGATTGATAATTTCAGTGTTCACTGTCTTGTCTTTGGGAAATGGGGATGATGTTGGCAAATCGAAACCGTAGTGAATGTGTATGCTTGGAACCTCTTTTATTTCCCTCTTCTTTCTTGTTCTCTCTCTCTCGTTGTCTCTGTCTTGCTCCTCCCAGAGTGCCGTGCTTGCTCCTGCATATAATGGTGGCAGAGCATGTGTATTAAGAATGCTTGAAGGAATTTGCTTTACAGAATATAAGATTTAAGGAAGATGTCTGAGCTTCAGCTATCTGAAGAGTCATCATGTGGAAGAGAAGAATGATTTATTTTTTTGTGACCCCAAGCAGTTACACTGGGCCAGTGGTTAGAGATAGAATGAGCTACCCATTGGGAGATATGTTAGGAACTGGATTCAGACATTCGTTGGATTTCGAGTTCATTCTTTGGTGAGTTTCAACGAAGTACAAGAAAATCTAGCTAGCATCCCATGGTTAGATAACACCCTGACAGTAAGGGCAGCCTTTTATTTATTTTTATATTTTTTTACCTTTCCTAGGTTCAAGAGTACTTTACTCTTGGAAACTGTACCCCGAGTCTTTGACTCATGTGGGTCTGCCTTCACCCCTGTATCTTTAGCACCTTTATACTCTTCTGTTATTCCCCGTCAAGGACCCCATTCTGTCTGCTGACATTGGATAACTCCTCTCATCTATAGGTTCCTAGTAGTCATGGCGTCTGTTCTGTCCTGTCAAATCATCACCTTGCCTAGGGTTCAGCTCATTTGTACGTGACTCAAGCCAGGAAATGAAGTATGGACTAGTCCTTCCCAGTACCTGTGATTCCCTGAATCTATCACTCTTTATTTTGCTTGGCGGATGAAGAGAGTCTCACTGTTTACCTTGAATAGAAGTGGATCTCACTACGGGTATGGACCATGGAATAATTTCACCACCATTCCCCTCTTTGGTCATTTCTGTTTTTCCCTTCATAGAATATTAGATTAACACCAGATTCTCAGGAAATGCATTTTGAACTGCCTGGCTTGACTGTCCTAATTTACTCTGCTTGTCTTTTCCTAGCTTTGTTCTCCTTTCTTTCTAATTCAATACTTTCTTGATACCAGTGAAGCCACTGAGCAATACCTAGCTCCATCACAGGCTCTCAGATCATAAGAGGATGACCAATCTGTGTTTGTGTTCATGCCATTTCTGTATGTTTTACTGATAAATTACCCCTCAAAAGAGAAACGATGTATTTTTAATGAGGCCTTTGAAAATAATGTTTTGCTTTTATTACTAGAAAAAATAAGTTTTATTGTTAAAATACTTAACAAATTAAGTTTTGCATATTGTAAAATATTTTACTACATGGACTCTACCCTTCATCATTAAAAAACAAAATTAAAAAAAACAAAACAAAACAAACCAGAACTATAAATGAAAGAAAAATGTGTTAAAACAATTAAATTTATTAATTCTCTCTCAAGTGATCTGAACTTAACCCTACCTACCCAGAGAAAAGCTGGTTTTGTATCCAACAGTAGAAGTGAAAAGCCAGCCGTGTCAGACATCCACAGCTAAAGATGATTTCAACCCTTACCCAAGTCATCTCATGGAGCAGCCTAGAGTCATCAGCTGCTAGTCTTTTCTCATCAGTTATGGTCTATTCTCCTTGCTAAGCCTGTTCTCTTCCTGGGCTAAGATCCTTAACCTTTGTCACATCACTGACTTGGAGTGTCTGCTCGATCACCTGGCGGAAGTGACACCAGCTCTGGAGTACCTCAGCCTGCTGGGTAATGTGGCGTGTCCCAATGAACTAGTCAGCTTGGAAAAGGATGAGGAAGACTACAACAGATACAGGTGAGTATCCAAGGGGTTGAGCATGGTAAAAGAAGAGAAAAGTAGCATTTTCGAGGGGATAATATACTATTTGGTGTATATTAGATGTTTGGTAAGTGTCAGTGGACTCCTCATGATTATGTTAAACCTTCACCTTTGTATAACCTATATATTGCCATTGTCTCCTTTTGTTGACATCACTGGAGCCAAGAAACACGAAAAGCATTTGGGTGGTCTAGGTCAGGGGTTGACACTTTTTTTTTTATAAAGGGCTAGGTAATATTTTTGGCTTTGTCAATCATATGGTCATATGTTGCAACTATTCAACTCTGCTATTATAGTGCAGAAGTAGCCATAAACAATTTGTAAATGAACAGGCATAGCTATGTTCCAATAAAAAATTACTTAAACAGACAGCAGGCCAGATTTGAGCCATGGGTTGTATTTTGCTGGCCCCTGCTCTTCCTGTGGTCTGCATCAGAGTCACTGGTTAGAGAGAAAGCACTTCCCATAAAAATTTAGGGAGCTTATATATGGTCTCAAGAGGAAGTCCCACAAGCCCATAACTTTGTTCCAAAAAGCTATGCCTCAGTGTCTACCAACCATTTGCTTTTATGGGCTCCAAGTAGAAATGCTTTTCTTCTCTCCACTTCTAAACCATTTGCTTTGAAACACCTGATCCAAATTCATGTCTCTCAGGGAGTCTTCTTATCTTACTCATTTTACTAAATTCATTTTATTTTCTTTCTTCATTTGGGATTCTGTATGCTCTTTTGGTGAATTTTTTAAATTTTTTCATATGTATTGCCTCTCTCTCCATTATGATATATGCTCATTAATGAATCAATATGAGGACGAAGTGAGGAAAGGAGGAAATACAAGGCAGGTAAAGCTACTGGAAAATAAATTTGGAGGAATTGGGGAAGGAGGATAATGGTTTGAGAGGAGGAATTTGTTCTGTCGAGACTCGTAAAAATCTGTGGTAACCCAAGAAAGGATGTAGTTGAGAGCATTCATTTTGTATAAATGCAAATCTGTAAGAAATACTGAAGGCCAATAAATGTTGTATATTTAAAAAGACATACACACACACACACACACACACACACACACACACACATATGTAAGTAAGGCTACATCAGGAATTCAGTTATATTTTTTTTTACTAGGAAGAATTTTATATCTTCAACTTCATTTTCTAGGTTACTCGATTAATTTTGCAGGAGTCTTAGACTACTTTTAAACCATCTTAGAATAAAGCTCTAACTGTACTTTTCAAAATGTATTAAATCTTTCTCTATCATGAATATTTTCATCTGAGATGTGATACTATCAATTTGAATATGAATTCTATTAGGAGAAATATGGTTAATGTTTAGCAGGTGAATAATTACAAATTCCTAAATCAAATCTTTAAGTTGCTTAATCATTTAGAACTTAATTTGCTTCATTTACACTCTTATCAACTTTCAAACATTTAACAGCTTGATTTTAAGTACAAAGAGATAGCTTAAAGCATATTTTATCTTATTGCAGCAACTTATTTATAAGATATGCCTTGGAAAGATCAAGTAAATCCAAGAAAGTTTTCTGAATCAACATTTTTAGTCAACCAAGTATTGTTTGGGAAATTCTCATTTTTTTCTGACTTTTTTTAGATTTCTGTGTTTGATTCTTTAAAATAGCCCAACAAATTTTATATATGCGTGATGTGTGTATATATGTATATGTGTTTATGCATACATATCTACATACATGTTCATTCATTCATGATTCTGTATGGGGATTGAACTGTAGGGACATTTTTTTTTTCTAGACTGAGAGAAGTAGAGGGAGGAAAGTGTCCACTTCCATCTTATTTTATTCAGCCTTAAATAGAAAGAGGGCTTTATGAGGTCATAAAAGGAAAAGTTAATTCTATTTGTTATTGTGGTTGGTCACATTAGCAAAAATATTAAGACCCAAGGTATAAGGGTTCAAATCAGATGATCTGATATGGAGACCAGTTTGCCAGTGGGACTTTTAAAATGGGAGGATAATCTATATCAGTGTCCCTTAAACAAGGCCATACTTCTGAATCATCCAAGGTGTTTTGATTCATTTAGTGGTAAATGCAACAAAATAGTCAATAGGTGATTCCGAAGCTCAATTAAGTACTGGACTACATAGTATTTAAAATCCCTGTTGGCACTAATATTCCGAGAGCCTCTGCTCCCAAGCTGTTACAGTTCTTCCTTTACCATCTCATACTATTTTATGTATTTTTATCTTATTTACTTCTCTCACTACTTCTGGTATTTCACCATCCAGAGAATAGCTTTCAGTAGGCAAGGACTGTATCTTGCCCTTTGAAGCCTCATTAATACCTTAAGTAGTGCTGGTCATGGAATAGGGCTTTGGTAACTTTGCTGGAGCCTGCTTGAAATTACCTTTCCTCTCAGGAGCTCAGTACTTACAGAGAGATGCAGGGACCTTTGGGCACCTCACTCTCAGGAGCTCAGTACTTACAGAGAGATGCAGGGCCCTTTGGGTACCTCAGACGCCCACTGCCTATTTGGAATCAGACCTGTTTGGATGTCAACAAATGCAGTTAACAAGCAAGAAACTATCCTTCAGACTCAATCCAAGTGCTGGTTGTTTGGGCATGATTCTTCAGGGAGGGCTTGATTTTAGAGGAGTGTTCCGTCTCATGAGCTGACCTGGGCACCCTCCAAGCCTGTGCTCCTCACTCCAGATCTATTTCCCTGGAAGGTATTGAAGGATGAGGTGGGAAAGACTGTTTGTTAGTTGCACATATGGCAAAGTTGCCATAAGGAGCTGGATTCTGGAGGCTGCACACAACCTAAATCACATCTAGTCAAAATTGTCGTAGAAAATCCAGCAGTCACCCACCATGGTGGCAAGATGCTCATACTCGGAGAGAAATGGGAACTAAGCACAGTGGTGAGAACAGTTAATGTGTGCCCATCCAGTTACACATCACTATATAGCATCTGATCATTGAGTGAAATAGTAGGTTATTCTCTAGTAATTCTAAATTTTTTGTTCGTTTTACTTTTTATTTCTGTTTTGACAAGCAATCTCATACTTGCATTTGGATGAGATAAACGTGTATATGATTCAATTCTATTTCATGGTTTGTTCATCCTGGAGTTTGTGCTTCATTTGAACCTGAGAAATTTTAGGATTTCACAAGACTTTTGAACCTAGAGGTCTTGTGGCATTTGGGTTTCTACGAAGCAATGTGGCCACTTTTTTTTTTTTTCCTTTTGGTTAACTATTTTCATGTCTCTTCATCCACAAAGCATGAGATCTGCCTGCCTTATAGCTGTTACCCAGAGCATAATACTAGGGCCTCTATGTAAATTTATGTGACATTCTCACTAGAAAATTGCTTAAAAAATGAATGATATTTCTACGGTTTACTGTTTTTCACTTTAAGTACGTTTTCTGACAATATGTCTTCTATTAATCATTTAAGCAATAGTAGGAGCCTTAAAGAAGTGTATTCAGAAGCAAGAACCCATGGTTCATTTAGTGCTGTCTAAAAAAATTTCTTATTGATTGGCATCCTCTGTGGTTATGTGATGTAATATTTATAATATGTCACCCAGCCATACATCAAAACAAGTATGTCTGTTGTTTCGTTTCCATGGGAGATGCTGATTTCAGAGAGGTCTGCCCAGTTTTACGTCACATTGTGGCCAACCACTGGACCAGAAATGGGAAGTGACTAGATTTATGGAGTTATTGGAAATGGCTTCACAGATGCCTTGGTGTCTGCAGATTCCTTCCTCCCCTCCGCCACGCCCCCCCAACACATCACCACTTTTCCTTCCTCACTTACCCCCCATGCACCTGGATTTTCTTGGCACACATCCCCACAGTTAAACAGGCTCATTAAATCTGTATGTGAACACGAACATACTACCAAGCTGTTGAGCAGTGCTTTGGTCCTGCTGGGGCAGGAGCAAAACCACGCCTGGAAGTTCTCTTTGCCATTCGTCATAGATCATGGCTGAGAAATGTCCATTGCCATGTTATTATAGGAGCTTAAACCTGCCCATGCTTTGCTGTGTATATACACTGTGCTGCTATTTTGGGATGAATGTTGAATGGAGGTGAATGTGCTAACCAGCAGCCTTCGGGATTTGAGCAGGAAGGGAGTGGATGAGGCAGAGCTTTGCCTGGGAGACCACCAGCATTCTAAGCAACCACCTGGGGTCTCCTATGGACTTCAACACTGGCCAAAAAATGAATCAAGGTTGGGAAACTTGGGTGCCCAGAATGTCCTATTTCTTGTCTTCCTTTGCAATTATTTTCTTTCTTCTTACTGCAGGAAAAAAAGTGAAGGTCAACAGTACACAAGTGCTGGACCTCAGTTGTCAAATAAAGAGATGGTCTCATGGTCTCTTAGCTCAATTTTGTCACAAACCCTTGCCATTCATTCTTTACTGCCACTGCAATCTTTGCTTGGCCTCTCCTTCCTTCGTATTCTCCAATAGGCCCCTCTGTATGCCTCACAACTTTAAATTATTTAAAACGTGACACCATTTCTTTGTTCCCT